ATGAAAGATTGCACTTACCAAATATCGCGCGATATCCTTCGACTCGGGCAAGCGGCGAGCAGCGGGCAGACGACAAAAGGAACACGGACAAAGCAAGAGATAATAGTGATGTGCGTACGGGCGGGAAATCCGGAACGTCCCTGTAGTTACTTCCATCCTAGTTACTTGTTACTAGAAAAATTACAAGATGTGACGCTGGCCTAGTTTTCAACGAGAATCAGATACGCGTATCCGTCCGCCTACCGTTAGCGCTGAATGCAGGCGCCTCTTCACTCGTCGACGACAAGCTGGAAATCGCGGGGGCAGCGGTCGTGTTTCGGCGAGCGCCTGCATCCCGCGCGGTAGCGGTATAGACGGACGGGTTTTTTCAAATTCGCCGTTCTCCAAAAAATTATATCTCGTCAACGATTGGGATTTTCGAACAACGGTAGGGGAATTGTCTCTTACGTTTCACGAGCTGTACCAGCTTAAGAAATATAATTTCACTAATCATTTTGTTATTTTTTTTATTTCAGAAATGGTCAACAGAATCATTCCTTGGTGCGAGAGCGAGGCCGACACGGTGTCGCTAGATAGCGACGTGGACGTCGAGGAGTTCTTTAGAAAGGAGGAGAAGGAGGAGGAGGAGGATGATACGACGAAAGAAAAAGAGGAAGGAGAGGTGGAAGGACAACACGCTGATTTTAGCAGCGACGTGTCCAGCCTCTTGGAGTCATCATCGTCATCGTCGGACGACGACGACATAAATCCTCCACCTAAACGGCGGAAGTAAGTATTTTTATTATCTTTCTTCATCCTATACAAATAATTCGAAATAAAACTAATAATTGTTGTTCATCTTGTGTAACAGGATGGATAAAAATTTCAAAGGACGAACATAAATAAGATTTTTTAACATTTAAATTTATTTTGTATATATATATGTATATATATATTATGCATTATATACAACGTGAATAAAAAATTAAGATCATTTATTTTGTAATGAAAAAAAATAAACAGTTGGAACTACAATTTTTGAAGTAACTTATTTACCATAACGTTTCCTCTCCTTAACATTACATTAGTATAAAATCGCTGGAGCAAATGTAGTTTTTGTATTTGTTCTTTTTTTCTTTTCTTTAATCTGAAGGGTGAATTGGGTTATAAAAATCGCTAAAAATTACACTACATCGATGGATATAGAATGTCGAGAAACGTGTATTGGACCCATGATTTTTTGACCGAATTTTAGAAAATTTCATAATTAATTCCAAGTCCTAAGGGAGTATTAACTTTGACGTATGCACCAACATTGGACTATACCAGTTGATAGACAATGTCGAGAAACGTATTTTAGACATATGATTTTTGGACCGAATTTTGTTAATGTTCTTAATTTTTTTCAAGTCCTAAGGGAATGTCTTTTGGGAAAAATGGAATAAATTAATACTACACCGAAGGATAGAAAACGTCGAGAAACGTGTTTTGGACTTATTAATGTTGGACCGAATTTTTGAAATTTTCAAAATTTTTTCTAAGTTCAAAAGGGGTATCAACTTGGAAAAACGGACAAAAATTGGACTATACCAATCGATAGAGAATGTCGTGAAACATGTTTTGGACTTATGAATTTTATACCTAATTATGAATTGTTTTTTTTTTTAAGGTTTGGTTAGTCAAGGTTATAGGTTATAGGTTATAGGTTATAGGTTATAGGTTATAGGTTATAGGTTATAGGGTAAAGCAGGGAATCAAATGGCCGATCGCATTTTTTTTTAATAGAAGACGACTTCTTCTTTACCCCCATATAGGTCTTATAGGGTCTGACTTCATAGTTTGGCCGTTCTAATTCATTTTGTGTTTTCAAAGAGGAAAAAGTTGCTCTCCTGGCTAAACCGTTAGAGATAGAGGTTTGGTGCATAGGACCTTTTGTGTTTCTTTCGTCGAGTACTATAAGAAAGGGTAGATCCCGAAATTAAAAAAATTTTTTTTTATTTTTAAATTTTTTTTGGAATTTTTGACAGGTTGCAATTTTTTCCTTATAGAACTCATCGAGAGGAACAAAAAAGGTCCTCTTCGCCATGCCTCTATCTCCAACCGTTTAACTAATCTAATTCGTTTTTGTTTCCCGATTCCAAAAATGACGATTATTAGTGAAAGGAAGGCAGATAGAAGCATGGCAAAGAGGACCTTTTTTGTTTCTTTTGTCGAGTACTATAAGAAAGAGTAGGTCCCAAAATTAAAAAATTTTTTTTTGAAAAAAAATTTTTTTTAAAAATTTCGGACAGGTCGCAATTTTTCATTATGGAACTTGTCAAGAGGAACAAAAAAGGTCCTCTTTGCCATGCCCCTATCTTCAACCGTTTAACTAATCTAATTCGTTTTTTGTTACCCGAATCCAAAAATGGCGATTATTAGTGAAATAAAGGCAGATAGAGGGCTGGCAAAGAGGACCTTTTTTATTCCTCTCGTCGAGCTGCATAAGACAGGGTAGGTCCGGGAATTAAAAGAATTTTTAATTTTTTTTGAAATTTTTTTAAGTCTAATTGGTGCTTATACTTGGATTAATTGATAAAAATTGGACTATACCAGTGGATAGAGAATGTCGAGAAACGTGTTTTGGACCCATGAATTTTTGACCGAGTTTTGGAAATTTTTAAAATTATTTCTAAGTCCAAAAGGTGTATCAACTTGGAAAAATGACCAAAATTGGACTATACCAATCGATACAGAATGTCGTGAAACGCGTTTTGGAAATATGATTTTTGGACCAAATTTGTGAAATAGTCAAAATTTTTCTAAGTCCCGACCCCCTCTAAAAGTGTGAAAGAATGACAGTCTCGAAAAAATGCGAACTATAACTATAATATTAAATTTGTACATTTTTGAAATGTCGATACAGTTGTAAACACTTTTCACGCGTATCTTGTGTCAAGAAGGTAAGGAGGTCCAGGGGGCGAAGCCCCCTGGCCCGGGGTCCAGGGGGCGGAGCCCTCTGGTCGGGGTCCAGGGGGCGAAGCCCCCTGGTTAGGGGGGGCTTCGGGGGGGCTTCGCCCCCCGCAATGAGAAAAAAAATTGTAAATCGTCAAAGACGCAAAGATAACGACGATTACTGTCATTGTAGACACACACCAACACAGACCAACTTCTGTTAATTTAATTGGACGATTAGTCTATTGGAATCGCATTTGCTGTTAAGCGAAATGATAATTGCGATTGATTAATTCCAATTGACTATAATTGTCCGATTTAATTAATCGGAGTTGGTCGAAGTGGCCCTAATCGTTTTCCATTTATCAACACTTGGTATCAAAGCACCGGTGTTTGCATGAGGATTCAGCCTCATTTTTGTCTGTATGTCTTAACTTAACTTTACTAAAATATAATTTATAACAAAAATGCATACTGTTTACTCAAAATTGTTTATGCAATTTTATAGCTCTAGTATTTGCTCAACTTATTTTAAATGGAATTCGGAAATCAGAAAGAATGAAGAATAGGAATGAAGGCGACCTTCACCTCGAGGTTCCACCAGTGCACGAGGCTATTGGTGATGATGACGGCAATGACGCAGATATAAATGCAGGTATAAATTTAATTAATTTTTTATCAACATCAATCATATTTTATAGTTTCCATTTATGATGAATAAATTAAAATATAAAAAAATATTTACAAATATGTATCGCGCCATTTATATTGCGTAAATAGGGAAGGTTCCGATAGCCTACGTCTTCATAGCCATAGCCACTCCATTGGCCGGAGCCTAATATTTTCTAGTGAACCACTAATTATAAAATTTTATATTATATCAGTCAATTGGCAATGTGGGCTATCCGCGGTTTCCTCTCGCGTAAATATTAATGATTAATAATAAATGGTGTTTACAGAAACGTTGCAGGTCTTGATTGGTAAAGGAAAGAATTGGACACATGAACAAACATTGCTCTTAATAAATCTATATGGCCAAGAATACGAGAAAATGAAAGGTGGCAAAATGCTCTTACAAAAGCTGTGGCAGCTGGTTGCTGGAAGAATGAAAAAAAAGGGTTACGACATTTCCGCGAGCAAATGCTCTACCAAAATGGATGCCTTGAAACGGCAATATAAAAAAGTCATTGATCACAACAATCAATCAGGCAACGACTTAATGACCTATAAATATTTTGATGTGATATATTAATTGTTTACATTTTATTTGTTTAAAAAATATTTCTTGTGTTAATCGTATATTTTATTGTTGCTAGGAACTAGATGAGATTTTTAGAGATCATCCATGGGTGAAACCGGTCGCGATTTCGAGTTCTGAAGTACAAGATTCAACGTTTGAAAATGTAGATGAACGTAACTCATCCCCAAGTAAGTGTACTGTGTTTATAGGTATGAAATATGAATATGAATATTGTCTGTAATAAATGTATGCATTTCAAACTTATAGACGCAGGATCGAAACGTAA